TCCACATAGCCACTAATTTAATGTATGTGTGTACAAGACTACCTAAAATCTACTTTCAATGCATTTTCAGAACATGATACAGTATCAGTAGCTCTATTTCTACTACTATGCACATTAGTATACCATCAGACTAATTTATCGCACATAACTATTAGATATTTACCATGCCCTGTTTGAAGAATAAATAAAAACAGTCTTTTTGAGTCTGCTGTCATTATGCTATAAAACTGTTTTCACAGCTCAATTATTTTCTCCCTTTCTTGCATTTGATTTCAGTGTACCCTTCAGAACTGAGCCCTCACTCCTTGAAAAGCAGCCTGCTTAGTTTTCACCCAGAGTACCCCTCCCTTACTTTGCTCTCTCTGGATTTTCCTGGGCTGTTTATCTAATGGTTTTAAACAAAATATTAAACAATCCTTGCCTTGCGGCTATCTGCTTTCTGCTAGGGCTATTGTTCATTTTGAACCTTTCCTACAGCCCAAATTCCCTGTACTTTTCATAACCCCAAAGTAACAGAAGCATGAAAGTAATTTCATTTCAATAATATGTGTAAGACTATGTTTTGATGTGCATAGTTCCTACGATACCATTGAACGCAATGTAACAAGAAAAGAATGAACTATTGGATAATTTTAGAAAAAATAACTTATCTGACACATAGCATTGAAAGGACATTTTATGATTGTATAACCCTTGTAAAGACAGGGTAATGTGCAGGATAGGAAAACATCAGTTTTATTTGTTCCCTACCCTCTACGCAGTGATTCAGATCATGTCAGCAAAATACAAAATCATTCATGCTTGTGTGATCTGGCTTTAACCTACAGAAGAGGGTATTTGTGCATTTACCACAGCAAAAGTTGTAGCTGCCTCCCTCAGGCAAAAGGGCTTAAGTGTCTGCTAATGTCACTAGCTTGCTTAAAAGAGGATAAAAGCAGCAAACCCGCAGGCAAGGAGGCAATTTAAATTGAGTCAATTTAGGAAGCACAGTGCCTCAGCAAACTCAGAAATTAATCCAGATTAAGACATTTCACTTTTGGGATCTGTGGCAGACACCAGTTTTACAGCTCTATCTTAGAGGCTGGCCTATGTTTCAAAGGATATCTCCAAAATTGGTAGAGCTAAGTCACCAGCATGTGTGATTTTTTTTTTTTTAATAAAGCAGTTGGGTTGAAAGTTTTGCAATTTACTCTACTATAAAATTCTAGAAATTTAGGAATATCTAAAGCATATTTTGTCTTTTATAATGTATGGAAATTTACTTCTTTACATAGATTTTTAATCTGCAAATTACTTCCATCCACGACGTGTGCATTAAGTGAATTACTCACTGATGTCCCCCTTGTCTCTAAGACAAACTAGATAATTTAATTGAAACTTTGTTACTTACAAAGATGCAAGATAGTATTTTTTTTTTATCCTTCAAAATTGCACACTGAGACTAAAACTTTCTCCATTGAGCTCCACACATACTGAGACAGATCCATAAATAGATTGTATGAATGAAATGCATTAAACCAAGCAATCCCGTGCATAAAACAGTCAAAACCGTCAAGCCGTAATCCATATTGCTCACAGCTACTCCGACAGTTATACTTCAAGGGACTCACAATGTAAATGATTGCAAGTTTCTTGGTAACATATTACTGCGATTTATTTTAGACATTTTTGTTGGAAAACAAACTTCATCTCTTTAGATCTCTTTCATGTAGAAATATTTTATATAGAAATACTCTTTGGGGTTGAAGATGTAGCTCAGTGGCAGCACCTGCCTGGTAAATGGAAGCTCGAGGTCCTCAGTTTGATTCAGGGGAAAAAAGAAAGAAGAAAGAAAGAAAGAAAGAAAGAAAGAAAGAAAGAAAGAAAGAAAGAAAGAAAGAAAGAAAGAAAGAAAGAAAGAAAGAA